TGCTTTTCAACTAATTTAGAGTAATCTTCAATCTCCAAAGCAACCAATGCGCTTGTCTAATGCTATCCCTCAAGCACAAAGGGAAACGGTGGCATTTCTCTTCTGCATTAGGAATCAGATGAGAGGCATACCTAGATAGCATCGTGAATTCAGCCTCATACTCTGCAACAGTCTTATCTCCCTGTACCAATCTATTAAATTTATCTTGCATTGCTCTCCTAGCAGTCATTGGCACATACCAATCTCTAAACACTTTGACAAATTCCACCCATGAGATTTGACTGCTAGATCTCCCAGTAAAAGTTTCTTCCAATTGTCTTCTCCACCATCTGTTTGCCTCCCCACTGAAGGCATAAGTAGCTAAGGCTACCCTCCTATCCTTTGAGGGCATAGCATCCCTCCAAAATCTTCTCAACTTCCATTAACCAGTCCTCTGCTTCTATAGCTCCACCTCCCACAAATTGATGGTGGCTTCATGTTCCTGGAATAACTTAAATACTTGTCAATTGGAGCACTTCCACTACTTCCAGCTTGAGTTGGTCTGTTGTATTCTTATCATCCCCGTCATAGCCGCCATCATTTGGGTAAAAGAGTCCAAAGTAGCATTAATGCTACTGCCTTGAGGCTCTAGAACTGATGGCAATTCCCTCCTGACCTCCCCTGTGTTGCCATCAGTGGCATCTAGTTCTGGTTCCTCAGCCCTGAGACATAAAGCAACAAAGCAATCTTAAGCCATTTAAATAACCACAAGCCACCTTATACCTACCCTAACCTATAAGATCTTCCTATCGGCTCTTTTATGAAAATCAATATCCTCAAATCCTTGCTCTGATACCACTCTTGTCACGACCCGGCCCGGTTAGCTCGCAAATGCGAGGCGGGAACAGAGGTCGGACGTAAAAGTTAAAAGAAACTTAACATAACATCAATTGAAACATCAACAATTATAGAAAGAGCCACTACAATTTTCCAACATTAACCTTTTCTTTTTCTTTCATTCATTAATCAAAATAATTATGTACAAAGAGAGTCATCCAAAATGGGAATCTAAACAATAGTACATCTCTCCAAAATCTTGTCTACAACTATTACCATCTATCAACAAAACAACAAAATAACAAAAGAACCCTGCCACCCGTCGTCTCCCTACGACGGTAGATGCGCGGTGGCTGATCAAGTCATCTAACCCCCTCTTTTGGATCCTCCTGAAAAGTATTTCCCACAACGAGGGTGAGTCTTAAAACTCAATAGGCAAATGCTTTACCAAATAAAATTTAGAGAAAACAATATGAGTAGATGAACATAAATGAAAATACTATAGGTAAAAAGAACATTGAACCAATCATAAATTTAAATAGTATGCCTCAGTGTGACCCATTAAACATTTTCCTTAAATGAGCTTATGATCCATCACTTATCATAACGCATGAAATGCTTTTCTTGAATCATGAAGTTTTGCATAGGCATAATGTAACATATATCTATAATCACCCGTCTCAGAGGTATCCTTTTTTGTACTGATCAGGTACAACATAATTGGCCATTCCTTTTCCATTTGGTTCATAAGAACCACCTTTACCAATGCTCATAGGAGCATCCCTTTACCAATGCTCGGAAGAGCATCCCTTTACCAAAGATACCTCCGCATCAACAAGCACATACATTCATTCTTTAATTACTCATAAGGAGATTCTTATTCATGCATATGGTCAACTATCTCCTAATGTGCTATATGGTTTCATGATAGCAAGAGGAAAGAAAAGAGTCAAATGCAACCATGATTCATCACTTTAGAAAGAACGAAGCATTAAAATACTATTACATAAGAGATGAACTTGCAATGTGAGTTAGCGCATAAGTAAAGGCTTATGTATGGTAACAAGCATAAGCTCAAATGTCTCTAAACCATTTCCAAAGGAGTTCTTAACAATTAAGCAATCATAGAAACATAAACATGATACTTAAAGCATAAAAGAATATATAAGCAATGTGATTGAAGAACGCTAGAGCTTGCATAATAATGTAAAACATGCTTTGGAGGAAAATAAATACATTTTCTTCTAATTTTTAAAGGCATTACATTTACCTACCTCAAAGGAACGTGATCCGCCAAGAATCTTACAAACTTCTCTTCCCCAATTGTCCAACACCTAAAAGAAACATACACATCAATCCCTACACGCATTACACATTCCAAATAGACCCTAGGCAAAGCATGTAGTTAATTAACACATCAAGCATTGGTTTTTCTATAAAGCCCCTCACATTCTCTCTCAATTAAAGTTTAGTCAACATTCCTAAGATCTTTTAAGCATGCAACACCTTTCCTACTCTCACATTGTAAATAAATATATCTAATTTTCAGAATTTAAATAAATCCAAAATTAGAAAATCTTTGTATTTCAAACAAAATCCATAAGGTAGCCTCTAAAATCCTCCCAAACCCTAATAAAAACCATAAGGATAAAAAATTCCTTCATTAGAGAGCAACCCTAAACTCCTAAACTCAAAATTTTTGCTTAAACCCTATAATATCTTCACATAAAAAACTTCCCCCATACCCTTAAAAAGATCTTTTGTGAAGGCATTTTCAGAAGATAAATTTTAAGCAAAACCCTATTTTTCAAAATCCATACTTTTACAAAAATACTCCACATTAGGGTTAAAAACATCACACTATCCTTCCATAAACTTTTCTCAAAGGAACCCTAAAGAAAAACTCAAGTTTCCCTAAAAACCCTAATTTCATTCTTTTAGAGAAACTCATGAAAATGGAAGGGAAGCACTTGCAAAACACTTACCTTAGCCTTCTCTTAATCTTCCCTACAATATTCCCCAAGATTTGTCGCCGGAAACCGCCGCCCGAAGCTCCCGTCGCCGCCTCTACCCGCGCCCTCTCCCCTCTTTCTCCGCTTGGTTTGGGCGAAAAGATCGAATGGGGGATGGGCGGTCTCGGTTAGTTCATTTAGGGAGAAAGGGGATATGCCAAAAGACTTCTATGCCTTCACTTAAACAACCCATGCATGAACAAACCTTAAGGGTAGAATTGGCATTTCTAACTTTCCAAAATTCATAATTCTCAAAATACTCATAATTAAATATAGGTTCTATATATGAAAACGATCAGAATTTTACGGTCTATTTTCTAAAATTATTCCCGTCGAAATCTGACAACTTCGAAATTTTCACTTAAACCTCGTCGCGGCGCTTTGAAAAGCGTGCGAGGTCTTAGACGGCATTTTCGGGTTTTACAAATGATGCATCATGACACAAAGTTTCCTATAGAGCATAGCACATAGGGCACAGTGTAGTGTGCACAACATTTAAAGATAAACTATCATGATAATGAAAACAACTAAAGTGATGCTTAAGCTAAAGTAATCAATACCTCATTCACTCAAAATAATTTCCATTTTAAACAACTGAAGTAACGGGCATCAATTGTGTTAATGAAGTGTGGGTAAAAAAAATTGTTATAGATGATGTGGACTGCTTGGATGTGGCTAAGGGGCTTATGTTCATAAATAGCCACAAGGGAATGCTTGCCTTGAGAACATAGGTATTGTTTCTTCTTGCATGGGCAGTAGGGGAGGTGGTTGCATATGGGTTGCCAAAGACTCGAACCCACCTGGATAACGATCTCGAGATCACAAAGTCGTCTGGATCGCCTTCCTGAGGTTTGAATGCGCCTCTAGAGGAAAATGATATGCGATTTTGGAAGCTTAGATTAGATTGCCTTCTTGAGGTTGTCAAAGCCAAGCTTGGATTAATTTATCAATATCGTCCAAGACCAACTTGGATTGCCTTATTGAGCCTGGATCATGTGTGTACTTGTTAATTCAGTATCTAAGGCACTATCAATTAATTAAACATATGATGAATTAATAAATATAAACACAAATATTTAATTTAAATTTTAAACATTTAAAATAAAATAGCACATGCTATGTGGCTTTTTCGCTGTTGCTCATGTCTGGTGTAGATAGTACATTCTATTTTGAGCAAATGAACTGCGACATAACAAATGGCCTAGGAGTACACCACGCTACGCCATACGTCATGGCATACAATTTTATGCCATTGATATGTATGGTAGTTAAAATTGTGAAGTGCTTCAAGATACTTGGTTATAAGAAGATATCAAGGTTATAAGAAGATATCAAGATTACTTGAAGTTAACTTTCAAGCGATTGTATTTAAGACATTGATATTGAATAGATTTGAGCATTGGGCAATTCTAAGTTATTGATAATTTTCGAAGGATCGTCAGATCCACAAATTAACCAATATTGTTAGGGATCATTAAATGCACAAATTAAGGGTTCTAATTATTGGATTAATACTCTTATGCCCCCTTAGATTACAATTCATGTGCCTTCTCTTCATATTCTAGCCAGTGCCCCCTCTTGAGGATTTTTTTTTCTTTTTTTAGTAGCTTTGATTTATTTTCATTTTAAGTTTTTAGAGATGTCTATAACTAGTTTCATACTTTATGCAAAACCAAGCAATAAAATTCAAAGTAGTTTTAAAAATTTTTCTACTTTTCTATAATAGTTATATTAAGTATTGTGGGAATGAGAGTGTTTAGATTGATGTGCAATATAACTAAGAAGGATGAATTAATGAATTATTAAATTAAATAAATAATTGATTTCTTTTATTAATGTAAAGTAATTGACTTGGGTGATTTAAATATTGCATCCAATGAATAAGTGAGCTTAGTGTTAGAGGATTAAGGAGGAGAAATAATAAATCTTAAGGTAATGGTCAAAATGATTTCCAAGAATAAATATAATGCCCTTGGCTGTTGGCATTACTCATCATAAGTGAGTGAAATTTGACAATTAATAGAACGCCTCTCTTAAAACCAGGATGTTTTTGCTTCTTCTAAAATGCAATTTATCATATTTCTAAGTGAATAATATTTTGTCGAGATCTAATAATGAACATTACTGTATGCTACTAAAGAAAAAAAAAACCATTCATTATTTGGCTTGCAGGAGTTAGAAGAGAAGAGGAAGCAGCGTGCAAAGGTTGCTTACGAGAGGAAGAAGCAATTGCTAAAGCTGCGCTCCAAGGCTGAAAAGACAGCCGAAGAGAAACTTGGTTCTGAAATTGAAATCCTTGCGCCAATCAAGTATTGATTTGTGTTCTTTCTTTTCTATTGGGTGCCCGTTTTGTCAATTAGATTTTTTTACAATTTCGAACTTTTTCTTCCCCAAACTTTCATGGAATATAAATCATGTGATGTTGTTTTGATCCTGTTTGGTCACCGCCACATCTATTTTTCAGTTCAACTTTTAATTGAAAATGAATCTTCTCGTTCTCTTTGAGTTTGCTGCCTTATTAACTGATTGTTGAAAGCTTAGCCACTCAGTCGTACTGCTTACAGTTTTTTTATTGCATGATCATAAGTTTTGCTATTTATATATTTTTTGTTTGTCCAGTTTGTTTTTCCATGTTTAAGTAATGCAAATTTTTTTTTTAATTTTTCAACACTTTATAATTCTATTATTAATTTTTAAAAAACTATATATATAAATTGTTTTTTAGTTGTAATTTTACCATTGATTTTATGAATGCTGCAACCACCAGTCACCTCAAACAAATCTAGTAATTATTGAATAGTTTGTATTGCATTCTCATTAAATAGCATTAATAAATTAAAATTCCTTTTTTATCAAATTTTAATTGTATTATCTTAAACTAATTTTTCTCCCCATTTATAAATTGTTGAGTTCAATTAATCGTTATATTGTTTAGAGCATGATGAATTTTTTTTGCTGCATATCATAATGCGCCCATGTAGATAATGTACTTTTTTTTTTATTTTGTATTTGATGGAAAAAATATGTTGATAATGTACTTATGGTATATTTTACATGTAATATATATTATTATTGTTGAAAATGATAAGATGATATATGTGATTTGAATTTGATATGAAATAGGTAAATCAGTTAATTAAGAAGTTCCAGTGTTACTTAATTTAAGTGGGGGTTATTAAGTGCTTAAGATTTTGTTAGGGGCAGCTTTTTATTTATTATTAGTTTTTGAGTGAAAAAACATTTAGATTTTTTGAGTACTTGTTCAAATCTGCCTAACACAATTTGTTTGGGATGACTTTATTACTGCTTCTTAAAGTAGTTTTTCAGTTTAAAATTAAAATTTTGTTACTAGAAAGCTGCTTTAAGCAAAGGAGTCCTTAATCTAGATTGATTCAAAAGGTTAATGAGTACAGGCTAAGAAAAATAAAAAATCAGGTTGTTGGGACTACCATTAATGCATATGTTCCCTAATGAGCACAATCAGATCTTCTCCCTCAAATGATTCTGACTAATACTGTTGCATCTATGCTTTTTCTTTCCCTTTCTCCATGTCCGTCTCCTCTAATGGGTAAAAAGCTACAGATTCCAGGTGACTAGTTTTCTTATTGGTTTGAAGATCTCCACTCAACCACCTATTCATGTTTGCTAGGCAAAGAATGCACCAAATCCTATTGAATTGAATAAAAATGGCATTTTCTTGTTCCATCTCCATTTCTGCTTCTACCCAATCCACTACAGCTCATAGTAAGTAATCCTTTAACACTTGGTGTATCATTAACCTCATATGGACTAACACTTTTGTTATGAAACTTCCATATCAGAAAATGATGTTCCTTTAAGTGTTTGAGATGATTACAATTTTTATTAAGATGGTTATAAATAAAGTTGTTATGGAGAAAATAGCTTTTTTAAAAGCTATTGTAGAAAATAATTAAGGCTTCGTTTGGAACAATCTTCTTAATGCTTCTTAAAACAGCTTTGTAGCACAAAAATTAAAATTTTTGTACTTGAAAGCTGCTTTAAGAAGCAGTGAAAAAGTCATCCCAAACGAAGCCTTATATCTTAGTATAAAAATTTCTTGGAAGCAATGAAAAAATAATGATCAAATTGAAAATGTGATTGCTGTCTAAAAATTATCCCAAAAGAAACACAAGATTCTCCTATTTTGTATTTTTATAATTATTATGAAACTTAAATTATCCTTTTTTTTTAAGTCATTAAATTTATATTAAGATGTGTATTATACTTAAACTATTGTATATATTCTTATATTTCATTTATTAAAACAATCATAAGGCATAAAATCTATTAAAATGAAATTTAGATCTGAATATTTATTTTTGATTATATAATGAACTATATAGTGTGTAAAAGAATGAAGTTATTCATCCTGCCAGTAGTCATCAATTTATTGACATTTTCTGAAAGCTATAAGCTGGCAACTTGCAGCATTGGAAGCTGTGCTACCACAGGTAGCCATTAACTTCTGCTTCCTGTCCTCGAACAGTTTGTATGATCCTCTGATGTTCTTAAAAATTAAATAAAATAAAAACTTGTGAAGTTTTAGTGGAACTTGTAAACTGTTCATAGCTGACTTTTCCTTTTTGTTTTATGCTTGGAAATAGTTTGCAATATTCCATTCTTCCTTCACAAGCCATGTATACCTATAATTAACAGGTCAAGCACAAATCACCCCTTTCTATGGAAGAAAAAGATTACAGAGATTTTAAGTACACTAATTTTGAGATCACCGGCCATTATTATCATTGCCGGTCGCCACCATCAGCTATCATCTAACCATCACCTTCATCTACCATCGATCATTGCTGATTGCCATCTCTAGTTATTATCAACCCCCTCTAACCACCATTTTTGCAATCATTCTCTCCACTGGTACTATTGTTGCTCCTCTGATGAACGAGAAATTATTCTGTGCGGATGCCGTATGCAACTCTACATCCGGAGACCAATCATAATGAGCCACGTCAGTAATATCGAGCGCGGTATCGAGCAGCACCGAGCAGCGGTACTGATGTGACTCATTCTGATTGGTCTCCGAACGGCGTTCGGCGTTCGTATAGAATAATTTCTCTTGACGAACATCATCATTATTCCATGAAAAAATTTGTTTAATATTTAATAAAACACCATCATTTTCTTAATAAAAATACCTTATTGGGAGAAGACATCACAAAAGAAACATTCTGAATTTCCCAAAAAAAAAAAAAAACATTCTGATCTGATTTGTTTAATATATTACTCCTTATTATATATAATATTGTTGAGGTAGCAGTAATCATCATCGTATGAATAATACATAAAAAAATGAAAATTCAGCACGATGAACAATCATTTTAAAAATATAAACACTCTGCAGAGTTTGTTCTGCACAACTGCTCAAATTATTAGCTTCCACTGTTATTATGAAGATACATTGTACGTCCTTCACTGAAGCTCTCTCTCTCTCTCTCTAACAATCAATGAACAGTTTCCTCTTTTTTTACTATTCATAACATAAATAATATGGTAGCTATGGGCCACTAATAAGAGAGAGGAGAAATTATTCTAAGTGGATACCGGAAGTTTGGAGATTAATCAGAATACGTCATATTATTCGATACCGAGCAAAAAAGTAATGTTATGTGTTCTGGTTGATCTCCAGATGCCGTCGGGGTCGGCACAAAATAATATTTCATAATAATTTGGATAATGATTAACTAAACCCTCTTGATTTACTGAAGCTTGGAGGATTTTGTTATTATTATTTTTAAAAATTATGTTAGAATATTTTGGTGCAAAAGTCGTAGGACGTAAATAAGTCTTTAAGAGATAAAGAGACTTATAAGACAATATAGAAAGATATAAAGACAAAAACATGTAGTTAAAGGATTCACTTAATAAAAAGGAATTGACTATCATTATACTTGTTGCATATTTTAATTTAGCGTTATAATAAATGACGCAACATATATATTATTCTTATCTCAATACAAATGTAATTATTTTTTGGATCATTATGAGTAAAAATTATAGCAAGATATTGTGAGCCCATTTTTCTTTTTTTTTTTTAAATGTTGAAAAACTAAGTATAAATTTAAAATAGAGGCGGTTTAGTTTTACAAAATTAAAATAAAAACTTTTAGACTATTTATTATATAAGCATTTTTGGGCTTACTTTTTTTTTTTTACTTCTTTTTAATTTATTTATATATTGATAAGAAATAAATTATATATATTAAAAGCATGTTATTTTTATTTTACTGAATTTCAACTACGTTGATTTTTACGGTAATGACGGCGGTTCTTGACGGGGCAAGGGCGAAGATTGTCTTTGGGGGTGATGGTAATGACGATGGTGATAGTTATTTTTAATAATCTATGGTGATAGTTATTTTATTTTTAATAATATTCAAAATAATAAAAAATAAAAAATTTAAAGCAATTAAAGAACATATAAAATAAATAAGCTCTAAAAATATAAGAAAAAAGTTCCTAAATCAGTTACTACAGACAACTAAGTTGGAGCCTTCACATCACCATCTCATAAACATATTAATATTATTCTGACATTTTAAAGAAAATTAGAGAACAAAATTGTAACAGTTGGTAGGTTGAAGCCATTGAAATAATATTGCTGGAAAATTAGTAGTAAGATTATATATATAGAGTATTAGACATTTCTGCAATGAGTTTTTGTCCTTTGTTGTTGATGAGAATCCCATCAGATGTATATATCCTTTCCCATCATGGATAGTGATTTGTGCTTGGAATGAACTGTAGCTTTCCTCAACTCTTCTTGCATAGAATCAACAAGTGAATATGTGAGAATTTCTTTTTCTTTGGCTTGTAGCTGGTGACTGCAAGTTGAAATAGCTTGGATGGTTGCTAGTTGCCATATTTTCACTATTGAGTTTTGGATCAAGTCATGGATAGTGGAGTAAATATTTGATAAATATCACACATAAGAGAGAGAGAGAGAGAGCATACTCATTTTTGTAATCAGTTAAACTCGCTCAAATTAGAGAAATTATTCTGTGCAGACACCGGACGGTCCGGGCATCTACCAGAACGCGCAATGTCACCTGGTACATATTGGTACTGAGCACTGATACCGAGAAAAAAAGTGATGTGGCGAGTTCTAGTTAGTCTTCGGACGCCATCTGGTGTTTGCACTTAATACTTTTTCCTCATATTCATCCCAAGTGTAAAAATAAAAAATATATTGTAGTTCTCTTGGAGCACATGATGTTATGTATAGTATATTAAGGCTTTCTTTGGGACACTCTTTTTCATTGTTTTTAAGAAATTTTTATACTAAAAAATTTGCTTTAGAAAATAATATAAAATCTATCCTAAACGGAGCCCAAGGCTGCATTTGAGACAGCTTTCTTACTGCTTTATAAAACATAATTTTAGTAATTTTTTAATTTTTTAATAAAACTCTTTTATAAAGCAGACAAAAGGTGTCCCAAAGCAAGCCTAAGGTTCCTAATCCTTTGATAACTAGGCATTGAATTGAGGAGATTTTGAAGCATATACATTATTTGATAAAAGGCATGCATGCCAACCCAAAATTTGAACTCATAAGCTCAATTGAAAAAGATTCATGGTGTTTAATATATTAGTTTAATTGTTCATGCATAGTATAGTAGATAATATTTAAAATATCAAATTAACCTAAAAAATCTACAAAAATATAAAAAAAGTTTAATATTTTTAAATCTCATATTATCAAAAGGCTTCAATATGATTTTTTTAAAAAGATTTATTTTAGCCTATAGTCACAATGAAATGATATAAAAGGAAAAAAATTAAAATTAAATAATTTGAAATTTTGAAAAACTTTTATTTGTTAAAAGTAATTAATGTTTTTTGTTCAAAATAATTGAAAATAAAAAGAATGCATAATATGATACAAATTAGGAGAGATAAAATGACAAAAATTTTAAATAATAGAAATAAAAATAAAATTTAAAAGAGCTTTTATACTCAAATACTTTGGCTTATCATTCTAAAATAATCCTAAGAGTATTTATATACTCCAAAGCGAAATACATCTCTAAATAATGAATTGTGACAAAACTATCCAAAAAATACAATTCAAAACTTGAATTAGTCATGAAATTCATTTTAAAATAATAAGTACAAATTATTCAGATTTACTTCTAGTTTTATAAATTTTTCTCTTTTATCTTCTTATATTCAAACTGAATATTTTCTATTAGCAGAAAAACTAGATTTAGGGTATGTTTGGAATTGTTGCAGCGTTTTATAAAGTTGATTGTGAAGTTGATATGGAGAAAACAACTTTGCTAATATGATCACATAAATCAGCTTTCACTATAAAAATTTTTAAAACCAATGAGAAAACAGCAAGAAAATAGTAGTCAATCAAAAAATTATGATTACCGTCTAAAATGCAAAGTAGCCAAAACTATCCCAAATATACCCCTAGTCAATACTATATAGTTGCTAAACTTTCTCAATCTACTTATTATTTAATATCATATGATTGCTAAAAAAATAATAATAAAAAAAAATATCATCTGATTGCTGAAAAATTATATTTGGTTATTACCATACATACATTAATGATCATTTTTTAAAAAATCAACAACTGTGATTCAAAGAGAGAGAGAGAGTGGAAGGATAGCACTTACAAGCACTAAAAATATCTCTAAAAAAAGCATCTGATATCATATTAATACTGCAATCATGCACATAGTAATATTAACTTCATTGACAAACTACTACACTTCTTATAATGTTCTCATACAGAACACTTCCTGATCAAGTAACGAAATTACACACTGAAACTAAATAATAGCAGATAATATTTCTACAGTACATGAAATATTTAAATGATATTTCACATATTTTTTTAATTTTCTCCCTCTTTCCTAGAAGAAATCACCAGCACTGTATCCATAACCTGCTCCAGAATCCTTATAGACTGTAGTGCTGGTCCCTCTCATATTTTCCTGCTGCTGAGCTGCTTCATCATGATGAACAAACTGCTTAAAGTTGATGCTCGAAGAATTCCATGGCAGAAGTTGAGCAAATGTGCTTGGTGTTTGGAAATTATTTGTGCTTGTCAGGTATGAAGAGAACAAAGATGGCATCATGAGCTGCGTTTCCATTTGCATCAGAGCGAGCGGCGAAGATGAAGAAGATGGCAATGATGATGAAGCTGTATCTAAGTGGAAATCATGCTGCAATGCTACTTGAGAATAATTATTACCAACTTGAGATACATAAGGTTCCATTTGGTGATAGGAGTTGAATGAACTCATTGTTGATTTTGGAAATGATTGTATATCATCAACATAATTGTTGCTAATAATCATTAATGGATCAGTATTATTAACACTGAATGCTTGGGAGCTGATACCGTTGCAGTTTATATTCTGTTCATCCATAGTTCTCGCAGCAGGTGGTGGAAATTGGATGAAACTGCTTCCATGAGGTGAAAGTGGTGGTGGAGGGAGCCTATCAATCTCATTTTGAGCTGCACTGATCAACCAGTCTACAACTTTACTTGGTTGATTAAGACCAAGCTTGTCTTGCAGATCATATACTTGTATTGCTGTGGGAATTGACAGTCTTACACGCCTATCTCTTAATCCTTTCATGGTACTGATCTTGCTATGTCTGTCTTTTCCTCCAAAATGATCAGCTTGAGATACTCTCATAATTCTTGGATTTTGAATTGATGAACATAGCCTCTTGCTCGTTTGTTGCATGGTGTAATCGATTGTTCCCTCTTCTTGTTTTATTTGGACCTCCTTTTCTCTTGAATCTCTTATCATCTTATAAATTTTCATCATAGCTTTCATTTGTGTACAATTGAATTAGTATTTGAAAATTGCAATACTCAAGACAAAAACACACACACGTACACACACACTTAATGAGTATTTTCAGTATAATTTGTTCCTGATCATGAACAAGAAAGAAAGTAACTTACTTGAAACAAAAATCTGCAAATCTGTGGAGGCTTTCTTCCTGGAAGAAGTTCTAGTAAATAAGCTAAACAGCTTAGGAGCTCTGAGAAAAATTGTGCAGAGGATCTGCTAACATGTGGTGCATATTTATATGTCAATCAATTTTGTGGAATGTTCATCACAGCCACCACATTATTGACAAGGGGTAAGTTGGCCTCACCTGTCGTCATGGAAGAACTACAAATATACGTCTAACAGTTATAAAACTAATTAAAACTACCAAAACCTTTGAGTCTGTATATATATACATGCATACAATGCTTTTAGGAAAATCAGAAAAGCTAACAGAGGTAGCAGGGACCAATTAAACCTCTTAAATCAGCAACAGTCTTATGAGGACCACTCCACACACACACATAAATATATATATAATCTAAGTATAATGTTGCGAAAGGAGAAATTGTTTCTGTAAAATCAGAAATTCCAAATACATAGCTTGAAATTCACGGCTCATCATTCAAAAAAGATAAGAAAAAGACGAATGAAGCTAATGGAGAAATTAATGGAAGATTATTAACAAATCAAGGCAAAATACACAGCTCACATTGGTCTGTTGGTTAGAAACTTAGGCTACCAACTATGGGCGGATCCACCAAGGGCTTAGGGTTGGGTTAAATTTTTTTTTTAAAATATTTAGAGGGGATATTTTGAAATATTTTGGATATTTTGGGCATTTTGCTCCCCTCCCCTCAAAAATCTTTTTTGCCCTACTTTTATCAATCCTAAGCATCTTTGTTTATCCCCTACCAAATTTTTTTTTGCCCACCCTAAAAAAAGAAGTTGGATCCGCCCCTGCTACCAACTAAGAAGTTTTGGGTTTGAATCTTGTTTATGCAATGTGTATGTAAGTCTGCCTTAATTGACATAAATTGTAAGATTAAGAGTCCTCAAAATTCGTACAACAACTTGATTTATGTAAGATTAAAGTTCTCACGTTCTTTCAAGAACTCGCAACATGCATTAGGAGTTCTCTAACTCTAGCAAGAACTCGTATTCCAAATTATGTAAAAGAAATTGAAACGAAAATACGAATTTAATCCAAAAGATCTTAAACAAGATAATTTTCACAAGCTTTTAATTGGAAGAAAACATACATTGATTCATGTTGAATTCGTCGAATTTCAAACTACGGATTCTCTCTCTTTTCATTTTCACTTTCTTCTTTCATGAGTTAATTCTTTATGAAATAAACTAACTCTCATAACGAGAGAGAGAGAGAGAGAGAGAGAGAGAGAGAGAGAGAGAGAGAGAGAGGACCAGTAGTTATATATTTCCTATGAATTAGTTATAATAATCACTCATAGAAGTTATTTGATCAAACGGTCAATAAACGATTGATCAAATTATCTCTTCTTGACCAATAGGATTTTATATAAATAATTAAATTTCAATAATTCAAATATATAAGTCACTTAATGATTTATATAATTAAATATATACACTTAAATAATTATTGCAATGTCTCGTATAATTATTATATTTAATTATTCTAACATTAAAAAAAATCAAGGCAAATTATCTACTGATCAAGATCTTAATTATTCACAAAAAAATTGTTCCAAACAAAGCTAAAATTTTAATTCATCTGGCTTATATGAATCATTTCTTTTGCACTAATGTTTCCTTACACTACAGGAAATCAATTATTACCAGCGGCATTTTCAGTGGAAAATGATCTTTTTTGGCAGTTTTGTAAATTTCTGGCAGCTTTCTAACTGCAAATTCCCCCCTCCCCCCCCTAAAACACACGTAGGAAAAATATTTCC